ATATATATATATATATATATATATATATATATATATATATAGTTCAGCTATTTAGAGGGACATCACGTAAATGTGTTGTTTTAAAGTGAAAATATCTCCAAGGTTTATCTATAACTCTTAAAATTTCTTTCTCCATCAAACATCATTGATATTCTTCCACATCACATGAATCAGTGAATATTGCAGCAAATTTCGACTTTTTTCCATTGCCTAAACGAAGCATAAGAAATAAGAAAGGTTCGTGTACATACGACCATGTTGAGTTGACAAGCCATCGAGAACAAAAAGCGGCTCGGAAATATCTTTGAATCACAAATGTATCTCACACATGAATTCATTGTTAGAGAAGCGTCCATGCCGATTGCCTCTGCCGGTGTTAACTCGATAATGCTTTTTAGTATATTTTGTTGTTTTATACAAGGGGTGGTTTTCATACTTCGTTTTAAAGGGACCTAAGGTGAAAACCATAATCTAATACCTATAGACACTGACATAGCGGACTAATACGACGAAATTCTCATCTGCTGATTCAGTGCTGTTAGTCGAAACTGACCACCGAATGTCAGAACCAATGCGAATTGGTGAGAACGATTCGAACACGACTGCTTCAGCTTAATGCACATCAACGAGTTAGACGCTAAGCTCAAGCAGCCTATAACGAATTCTGGCATCGACCGCCGATGACTCAATCTTCTCCTCTGCTTATTCACCAATCACTTTCTTTCAGATATAATGGGTTTTGGTCTAAAAGAGTAAAATCCTAGATTGGTGATACCGATTCTGCCTTTTTTTAAACTATTCCAATTACATATATTGCGCTTCTCTTCCTCTAATAAGCAGTTGCTTACTAGTTGAACGTAAGTGAAAGCTCTCAAAAAATATGCTTCTAAACCGTTTATGTTCCCAGAAACTCTGGCTTCACTAAATTTCTCTAGAAAAGAAAATTAAAAGAAAATTCAATCAGTTTTCACTTGTTTTCCTTGTGTTCATCACTTTGTTTAAACCATAAAGTTCACACCAACCAAAGGCAACATCGAAGGTGTTTCAAACTATCCACTTTCAGTTAATTTCAAACTCATTTCATGCGTATTTTACGCATTTTTGTAAACGATTTAATGCGTTCAGTTCGAAGTAATTTGATGATACAGGTCTTTCGATGGACGAAAGAGTTGTGTTGAATGTCGGTGGTGTACGACATGAGACCTATCAAGCCACCTTGAAGAAAATTCCGGCCACACGCCTTAGTCGGTGAGTGGAAATACACAGGAACTTCCGTCATACTGATAACATTTTCGCAAGCTTTTATTCGTCTTTTCCTTGTGGTGCCTTCCGAATGACAGCTTACATCAAATATTCTTGCATACCTTTTATAATTTATAACGACATCTAGAATGCAGAAGGACTCCATTCTTTCACTAAGATATCAAAAAGTTGAATTTTCTAGTTGTTAATCTATGTCTTCTCGCTCGTTCCGTAGTATTTCAAAGTATTACGCCTTTAACGAGTCCAAGTAAAGCTGTTCTGCAACTGGTTTGTCTAATGCGATGGATAATTAATTTGAATAATTCATGTACTATCAAGTTAGGAAGCCTTCGTCTATGAAGAACAAAAAAAACACTTGGAATACTATTAATGTAGGACAACTGTTCATGAAAATGCCTCTAACTGCAATTTATATTCTTTTACATGACCCGACATCGCGTCATCCACGGATCCAACCCATTGTATTCGATACGTTTCCTCTCATCTCATATTAATACAAAGGTCTTGGGATTCTTTTATGAGTGCGACTGCTGCTTGGTGATTTTGGTCTTGTTTGTGAAGGTTGCCAGGTTTATTGTCCCTCCTCTATGCTCTTGCTAGAGCGTTCCCCAGATCTTCATGAGAACTAGTCATCTCTTTTTTATTGGAAGCGGCTCTCCAAACCATTCCGTTGCCGTTTTTCCGACCTAGGGACTATGAGAGACTTGTTTCGCTTAATGCGAGTTCGAAACAGCGTTGGAGTATTGAACTCGACCTTTTCGACTGTGATACCCAAACCATTTCTAGTTTTACATGAGGATGGAATTTTGCCTTTTCTTTTCTTTTCAGACATAGTATTCGAATGTTCACTGTATTAAGAGTTGATAGAGTTTTTTGTCGTTTTCTTTTCCGATTTAGTTGTCCATTGTTTCGAACTTGCTTAATCTGCAGAGGATTTTTCGACAAGAGATAAACCAACACATGGTTTGTCCGTAGACTTAACGCCGCAAGTTAATCTCAACGCGCTAAATGTTCCACGAATTGCTTTTGCGAAGTTATAAGCTAAGTGATGATATAATGATAAGGAGACATCAACGAGATTACTACCTGCTGAAGTGGCCAATATTTCAATAAGCCATCATCAGAATCTTGCATATCTTAGCAGATTTTTCACTTATTAAGTAATTAGTTTCTTAGGTGAGATTTTCTTCTTCTTAAGTCTCGAAATCCGTGCTAGATCCTTTCCAGCTCCTCATCATTTAGCTTCTAATTGTTGAGCCGTTTTCAAGAGCTAGCTTAGCTGTGAGCCGGGGCTTGGGTTGGAAATGTCGAACTCTTTGCCAGCTTGGCCTACCCGAATGGCGAACCCTCACTGCAAAGCTCCACCCGAGAACTCTCCACCTTCTCTACACTAAGGGAGAGAAATAAAGATCCATCAAATTTAGGGTAGTAATTTAATGTTTTTATTGATAGATCTAGAACATAGTATTGCACGTTTGCATATATCATATTGTGTGTACGATACCTTAAATCTTTAGTTGGTTTATTTTTTTTTTGAGAAAACTTCTGAAAGGATAATTTCTTGAAACTAGCATCTCAGAGGTATTTTTAAAAAATTTTGATTGATTTCATTAAGGGGAGGAGGTGTACTTTCTTCTGCGCAAATTAGAAAACCTCGGCTTGTAGTTCATCTCTGGTCATGATTTTTGATGTGTAACGACTTTCCTGCGAGTTCTTTCACTTGACTTTCGTAGTTTTCCTGCTGCTGGAAACAAAAGGACTATGAGATTGTGTATACAAAATAAAATGCGGCGTACATAAAATACGAACGTTTGAGATTTCCTTCTTCAGATGACGAAATTTTGTGGTTTTCAGTTTAACGCCGTCGCTTGCGAATTTCGATCCACTTTTAAACGAATATTTCTTTGATAGGCATCCAGCTGTTTTCTCACAGGTGAGATTGAAAGTGTATGCATATTTGTACTGAATATGGAAAACAACTGAATATATCGAAAAGGCAGGGCGCGTGTGGCGCGGTGGTCGGAGGCGCCCTGCAACACACACGTGGAATTGTTCCCTCGCCCATGGCCCACCAGGCCTTCCATCCCTCGGAGTCGACAAATTGGTACCAGACTTGTCTGGGAGGATAGCAGCGTACTGGCTTTATACATCGGTAGGCTACCGGGAGTCATTGTAAAGGCCAGATATGCATTCAATCACTTCCAAGCGATGCTTATTGAAGTCGAATGCATGGTGCATCCTTTAGGGATTGATCAACGCCGAAAGCTTTATCCTTCATCCTTTTTTATATCGAAGAAAATGCCAGAGCGCGTGAGTGTGTTAATTACAGTCAAAATCATGTAAATTTCCAAGATACTTAACTACTATCGAACCGGTAAACTGCATTATCCGACGGATGTTTGCGGGCCGTTGTTCGAAGAGGAACTGCACTATTGGGGTCTAGACGCCAGCGATACGGAACCGTGCTGTTGGATGCAACTCCTTCACGCCAAGTATGCCTATATTGTTGTTATTGCTAATATTCTCTTCCTAACATGATTTCGTTATGATACGACGTACAAACTAACAGAAATTAAACTAGAAGAATTGCGTCAGAAACCTATTTAAGAGAGTGAAGAGATGAAACCTCACTAATCTTTTTTTGGAATTAATGCTTCTTTCTGAAAGTTCGATATCGAAAAAGGAAACCCGGAAAATCGAAGAAATTGTTCGAAGTTAATGAGATTTGTCACCTATGCAAAGATTGAACGTTGTCCAGTTCGTGGAATACAAAGTTAACAAATATCACCTTCAGCAATGGAAAAACGCCTCAATGGTATCTTTCTTTTATTAGTAGGAGAGTGCAGGAGCGTTAGTGTAGTAGATAATGCTTAGAGATACGCAAGAAACGCTTGCGGTGTTGGATCGAATGGATGTGGAGAAGGAAGATGATCCACAACTCCGAGAGTTGGATACAATGAGAAAGTTCGGCTGGGAAGAGGAGTATTTTCAAGTAGGTTCCCATTAGAGTTTCCAATAAATTTATGCTTCCAGGTTTATTTGTTTTTTTCCGATAATGAGTGTAGGCTTTCGGAATGGAATTCCGCTATTATGAGTTACTGTTGTTCAACCACTCTCATCGATGAAGTACCTTGTTGATGGTGGTTCCCGTTTTCAAAAATTATTATGGAAATATATATATACATATTATGGCATTCCCTCATCTTCAAATCTTCTGTGTGCTGCTTCTACATCACCCGTATCACCTATAGTCCTGTTGATCGTCAAGTGACTCGAGCAGGCGCCAGTAATTCTTCCAATTTTTCCTGTCACGTGCAAGAGTAGCCCAGTGGGTTCCGCTTCATCATATCTTTCTTCTAGGATTTTCGTAAAGAACTCTGCCCATCGAGTCCGTTGTCTTCGTGCAGTGCGTTTAACTTCTCGAGGAGTCCAGTTACTAACGGCTCCTGTCCGTCGGTTGTCATTCATACGCATTAGGTATCCGGCCCACATTATCCTCGACTGCTTGGCAGGTAGGAGCTTCGCATCCCTTCCCTTACTCGTGTAAGAAGGGGTACTCCTAGCATCATCCTTTCGACTGCGCGTTCACTAACGCTGAGTGATCTCTCATCCTGTTTATGTAGCGACCGGGTTTTTGACGCTTACGTTAGGGCAGGAAGTACCATTGAGTCGAAAAGGTGGGCACGGAGTCGGGTGTTCTTCGTTCTCTTCACTACATCCTCGATGGTCTTGAAAGCTTCCCAAACCGCTTGTTTCCTTCTGCTCAGCTCTGGGGCTAGGTCGTCCATCATATTGGTTTCCCGAACTAGGTAGGTATAACTGGAGCATTCGGAGGTATTCGCTCTGTTGAGCTTGAATGGGGCATGCGAAACCAATCCGTCCTTCATGAACATCGTTTTTGTGTGATTTAGCCGAAGACCAATGTTTCCATAGGCTTTATTAAAGTCGGCAAGCATTCGTTCCGCGATGCTTCTACAAATGTTAGTGAAATGGTACAATTCATAAAAAAATCAAACGTTCCAGTTCAAAAAGAGAAAATATTTCTAAGAGTTCAAAGTATTGATTGCTTTCCCCACACTGATGGTTATTATACGTCTACATTTCTCCCTTCTATTTATTAGAGTACTTTCGCAATTTGGGCCTACCTAATGGCTAAGCAAAAGCGACTACAAATCTAGATCGCATTTCTTCGCATAATCTTTTTGTGGCAATAAAATTTTAAAGAAGTAAAACAAAACTGAAGCAAATCAGCGAGGCGTCTACCGCGTTGAACGAACGGTGTTTTCAGGACTTGCACGAAATTGCTAATGGGAAGGGCACTCAGTGCACATTTTAATAGACTAGTATTTTAAGTGTAACCAGTGAGTTCGTTGAGTCTTTAAAACTAGGCAGAAATGCAAAATGGTCTAAAAAACGCGATGTAAGCTCAGCAGTTAGAAACACCGTTCGATACGCACATCGTTTTTAGTTCGATCACGCGCCAGGCTGACCAAACCTTTATAAAGGTTTTGTGAGGGTTCGAGAACGAAATACTTCGGCAAGCAGACCAAGATGCTCATCAGAAAGACTAAATCGTTATCTCAGCAGCATTATGGTTATATTTCACATGACACCCTACCATCAGAAATTAGTAGGCCTAGTATTCAGTAAATAAAAAATGACATATCGGTCTGTGTCCAAAAATTTCGCGGTTTGGTCTTTACTGGTTTTCTCGATGTCATTTCTTTGTTTCCTTTCTCAAAAATTCAGAAAACAACTGATGAGCGTAACTCGATGATGCTATTCTTAATTCAGATCAGCTTTGTAAAACAATAGCAGTGGAACCACAGTTGTAACCAGATACTCCTCACGTATGGCAATGGAAAAAATCACAAAATTCACTCAATGATTCCAGATTGTTGTTGACTGCAAAAATTGAATTCGGAGTGGTAACGGGAAAGGCTGAGAGATGTGGACGAGCATCATTAGGCGAAAAGATGAATATATTGTTACAGGGCAATCGAACAAAATGGATGTACTATAAACCGAAGATCTGGTCGCTTTTCGACGAGCCATACTCATCCAGGTCCGCAAAGGTATTGAAATTCTTGAGTTTGCTAATTATAAACTTTTTCGGGCAAACAAAACCACGAAACGTCACGAAGTGAAGAATTGGAAAACAATGTGAAGAAAACTAAAAACAGGCTTCCTGTTTGTAAGAAATTATGACGTGGCTGTTTAGAGGAAAACTTCAGCAAGCTCAACATCCAATTAAAAACGTCTACTAACGCTCACTTAGCTGAACTCTTAAATTTTTCTCACTAGTGACACCTATCTGATCCCTTTTAGTCAGATTCTCCAGCACGGTATAGGAAATGTTGCTAGAAACATACCAGTATAATAAATGGAAATTCTACACTGAGCCTTTGGAAAACCTCTGAGACCTGTCAAATTTGGTTCATTTGTTCCTTTCATGCGACAGTTCTATACTTTTTCCAAACTATAAGAGAAGAGAATAAATGGAAATTTTCAGATAATCGCCGGTATCTCTGTTTGGTTTATTTTTGTGTCAATCCTCTCGTTTTGCCTTAAAACTCATCCAAGACTTCGTATTCCGATCATCGACGCCTCAAATAAAACGTTTCATGGTCTGGTGATAGTTGCTGTTACTCGACAAGCGACCGAACCGCATGTGATGTTTGGTCAAGTACTGTTTCTTTTCTCATATATTTAAAAGAGTGATCCTCGATTTTCTGAAAACATTCGTTTGGATCATTTAGCAGTTTAGTGTATTGAAGAGGAAGTCTTGTAGTACAGCCCTTAGACGTGTCCTGTAATGTTACACAAGAGCATGGCCTTTCAGTCGCACATGCGTGCCCAGCTTCAAACATACTAAGCTGACAGCTCTTTGGGGTTTTGTATTGGTACTAGACCTGTCTTGGAGGAACAAATCACTAGCTTGATAGAGCGATAGGATTCCAAAAGTCATTGTTTAGGCCACATTTGCACTCACTAGCAACTGCGATTTCCAACGGAGTTCAATGTTTGGCGATTCCTTCAGGTGTTGATCAAGGCCCAACACTTAATCTCTATCTTCTATCGTTTACTTCATTAAAGTGTTTAGCATTCTATGAAAAAGGAGAATTGTTTTCTTTGAAGTGGAAAATATAGCGTTCTTCATGAAAGGAAAAGTAAAAAATAATCTGTTTTACTCAGGTGTTCCTTTATTGCTCCAGAAAATTTCTACTCGATTTTTCTTAGGGTTGTTTATTTTTTCGTAAGTCTGACCGCAACGAAGTCATTTCTATTTTTCCTGAGGATTTCCATCAACACTACTTTTGCTAAAAAGCAATCTTTTCGCTTGGAAGTTCGCCTAAACAAAATAGATTTTTCACCCTAATTTCTCATATCTCCAACATACTCAGCATAAAATAGCATTTAAACTTCAACATGAAATATTTTCAGACGTGCAGTCCGAAAAGTAATGACCACCTTCAACCTTAAAGCAATACATCCTGTTCTGCAATGGATTTTATTAATTGAAGTAAATGCCAATAGAGTCTATAGATTTCTTCCTAGAAAATGAAATTTCCTAGGGGTGGTGTTCTGATATTCGAAGGCAACGGCAAATTTCTTCACTTGTTTTTACGTCAAGACTTGTATCTCAAAAGGGAAAGTGAACGATCCCAAGTATATTAATATCACTAGTCTTGCCGTCTCCTCACTTGCGTTTAAAATTTTCACACTAAGACATCGTTTTCAGTTTTTTGTTTAAATTTTAATTCTGGACATGTTTGGAAGTAACGTACACTATTATAGCGATATAGTAAACTCAGTTCTCTTCTTTGAAACAGTGAAATTCTCGTCTGTTCATATACGCTAGTAAACAACGAACTATAATCACTCTGCTACGGGCACTGAGTGCTAGGGTGGTATTTGCCCTAGAGCACTTTTAACTAATCAATACCAGGTTCTCGCAGAGAAAATACGAATTGATTAATCGTCGAAGGTACGGTATTAGGCCGAATGGTGTGATCATTATGACATTCTAATGACGCGCAATGCTGCTTAACACAATAAGATTTATTCTTGTTGAAGATACTCAATTCATTTTAGATAGAGTTTATATGCAACATATGGTTTACATTAGAAATTATTGTTCGATTTATATTCTGTCCGTCGAAAATAGGATTTCTGAAATCCCCACTCAACAATATTGATTTGGTAAGTTATGCAACAACAGCTTCTAGTTCTGTGCCATTCACTTTTTTAACGTATTCTTGCCCTTCCATTTGTCGCTATTCCTTTCGATGAGTAATGAAAACGTACATGCCTGGTTCGAAACCTGATGAATGCTGACCAGAAGAATTTTGCAAAATTTTCCCACGTTTATTTTCGTCAATTATACAGTCACTGGCGATGTTTCGTTTTGAATATAATTGGATGGAAATGATCATCAAATTGAAAACGGACGAGTCATCAGGTTCTGAACTTTGGTAAACACAATAAACATCAAAAAGTATCGGTAAAAAGAGCTATATGGGAAATATTCATATATTCCTTTTCCGTCCAAGACTTTTAGAGTGTAGGAAGACAGAGAGTAAAGTTCAATAGAAGATTTTGCTGCGAAATTTGTTCAGGTCGCTACATTGTCGTTTTATGCTGACGCGATATTCGTTCGTCTAATGGACGACGCTCCGAAGGATGTTGTCGAGTTTCTCTCAATGATTAGGTTAAGCATTTTTAGTTATTGTTGTGCACTTCCTCTCGCATTATCCTTTCTTTTCCTCTTTTTCTTTCTTCTTTTTTGAGAAAGCCACTGATGAAGACCTTCATCAGGATTTTCCGGCTCTTCAAACTCACTCAACATCACCGTGGTCTACAAATCCTCATTCACACATTTCGTGCTAGCGCGAAAGAGTTGATATTATTGGTACGTGGAAATAATACAAACTTAGGCGGCAAATGACCTTTTTTCATCCAACCATTCACAACATATACAGCAGTTTTCATTTAGGTGTTTTTTCTTTTACTCGGCGTTGTAATCTTTGCTGCTCTTGTATATTATGCAGAAAAGATGGAAATCAATCCAGACAATCAATTCCAATCAATACCGCTTGGCCTTTGGTGGGCCATATGTACAATGACGACGGTGAGTATGAGCATTTTAACATTAATTATCGTTTAATTTATTATAATTGTCGCCATACTTCCCGCGTACAAAAATATTGGAAAAAACTAGTTGTTTACGCGGGCTTAATGGATTAATGCTGGACATCGATCTGTTTTCCATTTTATTTCTGCAGAAACTTTTTCGTATTCGTTCTTTCAGGTCGGCTACGGTGACATGACTCCTCACACATCGTTTGGACGACTTGTCGGCTCGTTGTGCGCCGTGATGGGTGTCTTGACCATCGCACTGCCGGTGCCGGTGAATCAAGTCAACTTATTGCAGAAATTGCACTTTGACTTTCAGAGTCTTATAACTCAAAAAATTGTTCTTTAAATATAGTACCGCGCGATGACTCCTATTCTGACACTCTCGAAAACCATTCAGGTGAAATAATTGGAGCTTTCCAAATTTCACTTAGGCGACATATCTTGAAATTATCGCTTTCGCGATCATCCTGTTAGAAAGAGAAGTCCACCATAGGTGATCGTCTCCAACTTCGCAATGTTCTACTCTCATACACAAGCAAGAGACAAATTGCCAAAGAAACGAAGGCGTGTGCTGCCGGTGGAGCAGGTTAGTCGAAACGTACTGAAATTATGATGGCGGAATGAAAAGCCCTGGCAAACAATAGTTCCTTCACAAATGTGAAATAGGCGAGGTTGCAGACAATTCAACTAGTTATTGCCAAAGTGGCACAGTTAATAATATTTCTTGCTAAATAATTTGACAGCAGAAATTAAAATTGTTTTCCCGATATTATATTTATCATATTACGCTGATCCAACACTTCCTGCGTTTGATTGGTTTCTCCGCGTTCATCATTAACGAAGATCTTCGAATTTCAAGTGTGTTGCTTGAGGATTTTCGTCTTTGTTATGAATGTCGTTGAATGCTGGCGGAGTCGTTTTTTCTTGAAACCCTTAGTGCAGTCGAGGATTTTTGCCTGGGTTGAAGAGAGTGGGCTTGTTCCACGCAAGTCTGATTCCGACTTCTCTACTTCGGAGTGATGAGAGACTTGGAGACCTAGTGTGGGATTGAACCAGAACCTGGGTGTTTTGGGCAGTCCGCGATCGCCACCACCGAGCTGCCTACTTCCTCATAAAAGAAGTGCCACCGACAATAAATACGTGGATTAACTCAAAGGTCGACTTTTTGTGAACCTCGACATAAAACAGGGTTTTCAAAGCTGAGAAGGAGTTAAGCGTTTCCACCAGGGAGCCCAGCCAAGAGTAGACCAATACTAGAATCCACCACAGTCCTGGCATTAAACTAATCGCATGGTGGCAAATCTCCCTCTGATCCACAAAGGCGCCCACTGCCTGTGGTGTTGACGATCTGGAGCAGACTTTGGCTAAGGAGGCCTCAGGACTCCAGGGAACCACAGTAGCTAAGCCAGCATAACTCCGAAGCAATGGATTTTTTGCTGGGGCCTGTACTTTGAAGACTAGCCATCAAAGTATCCAAGTGTCCAAGTATCCAATTATATGTAACCTTACGAACTACCCTTGTTGAGCTTGCGTGATGGAGTTGCTGCTGCTATAGCTGTTGTTGTTGCGAGAAACGAGATCCATATAATTTGGTAAACTGTATGCAGTATAACAGAACTCTAATATATAATTAAGCGACATTTTTTTAAAATCAGCTCACCGCTTTGGGGACTGCCCGTGTGTTGTTCACGTGGGATAACTAGTGAGACATACCAAGGTCAAAATATCAGTTTGAAAAAATATGCCAGATCACGTGTGATTGTGAAGCATTCGTCTTTTCGGTTCAGTGCAGCAACAAACAACAGCAGCATCAGCAGCAACAACAACAACAACTGATATCAACCTCGCGTGGGCTCAACAGAGGAAATTCGTAAGAAAACGTAGACTGTTGCACTTGTTTCATACAGTCTGCTATTTGCAAGCATTATCCGCTGAGGACTTCGGATTTAGGTTCGGGTTTTGTCGTGAAATTTCTGTCTTTCACTAGTAGTTAGCAGTAGAAATAGTTGTAATGGTTGATCGCTGGTTTCGCGGGTTTTTTAGATCTGCTGGAACATTCCAAGATTCTCACCACAAGGAGTGTCTACCCTTGTTCATCTGGGCAGGTTGTTCCAGACAAACTCTGTACCAATTTCCCTACAGTGGAGCGTTAAAGGGTTTGGTTGGAATCTCTAATACAGTACTCTTCTCGCCACTGAAATTGAAAAAAATGGAAACGTAAGATAAAATTAATGTGGGTTGAAATTAGCATGTCGCAATGAGAAGACTAAACATAAGTTGAGTTTGTTATATTTACTGAGATTGAGCAGTTTGAGCATCTGCTTAACCGCTGATTCTAAAGTAGAAATACAGAATCAGTGTTACTGAGTACATCATCTCTTATTAATAGGTTATCGGGTTTATATCAATAGTAATCGTGTATCAGTAGTTAAAGAGAAGCATGCTTCGAGACCAAGTTTTCTCTAACTTCGGCACGACTAGTGAACGTATGTTTAAATTGCTGTGCTTACACGAGATTGCCATATGACTTTTTTTCGGAACATGTTCTGACGTCGTCGTTTTCACTACCACTGATCATCGACTCGGACCATCGGTTCTGATGAAGAGGAAGACGTCGAGACGCTAGCCGAATAAAACTTATATAACAGCCTCGTGTGAGCTCAAAAATTTAAGCACATATGAAAGCATATTTTTTCGAAACAAGTACATTTTTTGTCTTTCTGCCGTCTTTCCACGTGAGACTTTCTTCTTAACTCGCATGGGGAGAATATAAGTGGTGAGGAGAAAGAGATCGATTTAACGTTAGTGATGTAAACAGTTCTAGTAGTAGTGCATCAAACGGTGTGGCATACTGTTGAAATGGGACCGTGTTGTGATAACGTATCTCTTGTGAAGAGGTTATTGACATTGGTTGATCACACATGTTGAAGTACAGGATATTCTCGGCGAAATGGACGATTGCTTCTATAAATAATGTGTTCTAGTGGTTCAAAGTCATAGTTGTCCTTGTCATCGCATGTATTTCATGTGTTTTCGGTTAATATTTCTGGCAATGGAATTAGGAGAAAATTCATCTTCAGATTCGATTACAAGCTCGACGACACGCTCATGTTTTCGATTCAAATGCGATAACAACGCGTCGGAACGCACTCCTCAATTTATCAGGTCTGTGGGTTTGGGAGATTCCTATATTTTCGTTTTTGCAACCCATCACAGACTTCTATGTGGTAATACCAAACCAGAAATAATCCAGATGCTAAAAAAAGAAAAACACAAATTTCTCCCGTTGTTATCGCAGTGAGCACAGCAATGATAGTAATAGCAGCACTGTTCTTACACTGTTAAAGGATAAAGGATAAAGCTCTCGGCGTTGATTAATCCCTGAGGGATGCGTCATGCACTCGACTTCATTATGCATCGTTTGGAGGTTATTGAATGCATATTTGGTTCTTACATTAATGTGCGGTGATCTACCGATGTATCGAGCTAGTGGTGCTATCCTTCCAGACAAGTCTGATACCAATTTGTCGTGCCTGGAGAGATGGAGAGCTTGGTGGGCCATGGGCGCAGAGATCGATTCAACGTCTGTATCGCAGAGGCGCCTCCAACTACTGCGCCACAGGCGCCCCTCTTGCACTATTATATCTCATTAAACAACTTTTTAATCTACTTTGGTACCAGACTTGTCTGGGAAGAAAACCACTATCTGCAATCCAATTGGGAATGTTCCAGCCTGACTATCTCAGGACTCCAGTGAGAACCGACTCGACCAGCTTTCTACGACATTCAAAATGAAATGAAAATCCTCAAGCAGCAACCGGAGCCACATGCAAAGAATTCAAAGACCTCCGTGGATGATGGCTCGAGGAAACGAATCGAATGTGAGCAAGGCTGGGATCCGCACAGCAGACCTGAAGACGGGTCAACTAAAATAAAATAAATAAGATAAAAATCTACTTCTATTTCAACTTTTTATACATTACCATACATGGCATAAATTCATAAATAACATAATAGATTTTAATTATTAGCCATAGCATAAGTGAAAAATTTAGACTATAGAAATAGCGATGGAAGGACAGCTACGATACAAAATAAAGGCCAGCGTTGGAAGAATTCTGAGAGGGATGGCGAAAATTCAGGTAATTTTGGAGGTTTCCACCGTCACGCGTATTCTCGTATTTCCACTCATTTTTTATTTCGTTAGATTTTTAGACAAAGCATAGGATTTGATCATAGAGTTACCTCTACTTTATAAGAGTTTGACCCACATTTGGCATAATTACAATATTTCGGTCACTTATAATTCTGGAGAAGGTTTTCGCTCTCTTTATTTCAAATACAGCAAAGAAAATGAGCAGCATTGCTTAACTCGTTCTTCAATTCTTGGATTCATTCTAAGAGTTCATTCTGAGCTTAGTGAAATCACAGGCTCTGTTGGTTTTTTTTTTCTGAATTACGTGGTAGACGAAAAATCAAAAATGAAAACACTTACTGAGATAATACAACCATAACGTTGCTGAGATATTTGCAAAACTCTGGACCGCAGGTGTCTATGGTGGGGAACGAACGCGCTATTGTCCTTTCCGGGGAGTAACGCATTCACCACCACACCATGCGGGTTTTTTTTGACCAGCGTTTTGACTTGGCGTTCTATTTCAAATTTTCCTACCCAGTAGGCGTTTTCGTTGGCCATTCCTAATCTGACGTTAAGCAACAACGAATTTATAGAATTACTTATCTTTACGGATTACTTTCTCCAACTGGTTGTAAAACGCTTTCATCAACTGTACAGCTTGGTGAGTAACAGTTGATGATACTGACTTTTCTAATGGTGAGCAAGTTGGAGACAAAGAATGACTGTGCGTGGCGATAAAACTTTATATGAGATGATTATATAGAAAATAAATGAGTGTATGATGAAGCCAACGCCTCCGAGATTTCGCAACGGAGATTCTTTTCGACAGCTGACAAGGTTTGTGTTATCCAATTTGCATATGTCGTTTTTCCTGCTTTTCCTTTCTTGTTGGGTGATCATATGAAATTGGATGTGATCAGAAGCCTCAAGAAGGGCGCAAAGATCGGGTTCTGAAGAAACTGCCCTCGTGTCGGCGTGCTCGTTTTGTCCATTTCCAATGACGTCGTGTGCAACCGAGATTTGAAAGCCTGTCATCGGTTGTCTGCCTCACCGCTCGACGGAGACAGAAGCGGCCAGTGTACTGGGTAGTGAGGCCTGAGATTTACTGGTTTAACCAGTGTGATTCCCTGGAATATAGAGGTCAGCCTATCCGAACTCTTCCTCAGATTGTAGCCACCCAGTCGCAACACTTGTTAATCAAAAGGGGAAATGCCAGCATGCGAAGCTGAGCTCCCGGTTGAAAACACTGTACTACTTCTCAGCTTGGGAGACCCCGCCGAAATTATTAACCCCTTTTTAATCGCAGTGCGACACCCAAGAGCACTTCCCAACAGCAGTGAAGTGGTAAACCTTTAGGAGAGAAATATTAGATTTTAGCTTCTACTTAAAAAAATAATGATTAGGTAAAAAGTTATGTTATATCAAACTGAGTAATACGATTATGATATAGGCGTTTGGCTCGTTATATGGAGGGA